GACTGGAATTCTGATTCCCCTGAGACTGGAATATGCAAGGAGGCCAATCGGTGGACAAAGACAGGCTTGACATTGTGGCTCTAAGGTAAGTGTGTTAATCAGATTAAATTTCCTTTGGCATGTCTGGCTGTTTACTTGAACAAGTGAAGTCCGGGAAAGTTATTATTTATTATTTCTATCCCTTGACATTCTGATTAGTTCATCAGCAATCAGTCGCTATTCAGAGCTTTTCGATTGCTTTTATTAAATAGCAAGCCCATCTTCCCCTAGTCTACAAATTACTCAGTCTTGGGAAGAAGTAACATCTTCTCAGAGACAGTTTGCTCCAGGCCAGGTAAAATGGAATCGGACCACTACGAGACTCAAAATGAATCACAGAATCTTAAGACTAAAACTTTCAGAGCTATGTGGTTTCTAGAGAACTTGAGGGCATGTCAGCTACCTTTAGATTAATTCAGACTTTGATTATTTTGGAAGAGAAGCATTGAACAGTAGTTATATCTTTGTACAGTGGCATCCCAGTCAGTTTGTATGACTGTTGTCTTACTTTGGGCTAGGCAGATGCAGAATGAATGATATTCTTTGCTTTTGTATTTGTAAATTAAGCCCAAATTTAAACCCAGGAATAACTGTGGCAGAGAATATCACAAACCTGGTGAACACAGTGGAGTTCTCTCTCTTTCTTTTAAGATTTCTGAGTCTTGTCCACTTTCTTTGTTAGTCCAAGAACCAATTTCTACAAGTCCCGACACATCCAATTTAATCATGAAATATTGTGCATATGAAAAACAATTCAAAAATCGAGTCGCACTTTTCCATGTTAAGGAAATTTATTCTCACAGGAAAAAAAATGTGTCGGTCCTTTTCTAATGAAAATAAATCAACAAAATACCTTTCCAGGGAGTACACTCTACTTGTCAGTGTACAGGTTACAGTCATTTTCTGTTCAGAAATTTAGTTGAGTACACCCATTTTCTTGGACACTCAATTAAAAATAGTTATTTTCATGTTCCTGAGATTTCTCTCACAAATATAGGATTTGAATGTTTAAGCAGCTGCATTACGTGTGGCATTGTGTCTTGCCTTCAATGATATTGCCTGAAGAGTAGAGCCATAAAAAAGTTATTTTTTTATTTAAATGTATACAGCTTCAGTTTTCTGTAGTCAAAAATCAGACTTTATATGGACCAGTGTGAACTTATAAAAAATGGATATGCTCAAAGCCACACTGTCTTTAAAATAGAGCAAAATCTATGGAGATGTGTTTAAACTATTTTACTTAGCCTTTTTTTGAAACAATTGAGATACCAATCAGATTCGCTTTTTAAATCCTATAAAAGCCAACCTGACTGTCCTTATATGGGACCTGAAAAAAATGAGCAATTACATATTAGTTCACTAGCCAAGGACACGCAGTGACCTTAAATCTTAAGAATGTTAGTCAAGTTCTAAAAGGAAGAGTGTGAGAAAAGATTCTGTAGATTTAAAGTTGCCCTAGTAATTCCTCTGTTACCCATAACATACAATAGGTGTAGTTTTGTATATATGGGTCTGAACAATAATTCTTATGCAAAACATGGTCTGAGAACTGCTATGCCAGAACAAGGGAAAGAACAAAAGAGGATCTGTTTTGTCCTTGGTGCATTCTTTCTTTGTGATAACTACTCAGTACACAGGGAAGTGGGCCATTCAAGAGAGTGTCTGCTTCTTTTCAGTATTTACACAATTTTGCCTCACAGTTAAGCCCTTATAAGCTCCAAACATGATAATAGATTCTCTAGTTTCATCAGGATTGAATTAGATGACATGTATGAGTGTATCTTGGTCAGGATCTAGTGGTGTGAAGTAATTAACTGTAAATGTTGATCCTTAGATCCACATGTAAATTGTTCCTTGGAAAATCATGGACCAGAACTTGGCCACCTGTTTATTGTCTTTCTGGCTTGGACTTTCCACTGTCCAGCAGTGACTTGCATGTTTTTGCAAGTCAGCTATATGTGCAAACCAGTTGGAAAGAGGGAGGGTGGGTGTTTTGAGTTCACAGATCAGCCTTCTTTAGTATATATAAGTCAGTCAAATATTTCATATTCTTTTGGGCTCTGCAGGTCTTTTCTCAGTCTTCTAAAGCTCATAGTTGTGTATAAGAATCACTCAGTGATACTGCATAACCCACCTACCTGAGCTCTCTGTGGTGGAGTCATGAATGCACGTATATTTATTATGTATTTTGGGGGGTACAGGCAAATATGTATTTTTCAGGAATTGGCGAGGTGATTCATAAATAACTAGCATATTACTTTTAGAACCTAGTGATGAGACTCCTGGGAAAAAAGTATTGTGCCATAAAACATTATTAACATTTCTCATGTTTTAGCTTAAATTATTAGGAAATACCTACTGTAATTTTCATCTAGATTTAAAAGTACATAATTTTGGTTATTAAACAAATCAACCATTTATTAGTCAAGTCATTCATAAGATTGGTCATTCAGTACTATAGATGGTATACATAAGTTTTTGTAGTTTAGAAAATTGAATACCAGTTTAGGACCTTATTTCTTTGGGTGCTAGGGTATTGATTTGCCTTCCCATTATCACTGAAATAATCACCTGAAGTTTTGTTTGTTTGCTTATGTGTTAACCTGGGCTTTGAAATGCATTTATTTTTCATTTTAGAGGGGTACTTGATATTTCTCAGAAGTTTACATTCAAATTTTTACTCAAAATTTAGTTTGAGACGGGAATATGTACTTCATCTCTGGTTAGTGGAAGTGGGGAGCTTCTTTGACATCAACCTTGCTGTTCTTCTATCTTGTCCTTTCTCACTCATGATGCATTTTCTGTCCTCTCCGTTCCATTGTTTTTTTGTTTTTTTTTTTTTGGTCCCATCAATAAGGACCCTTTTCTTTAACTTTAGTCTCTGTCCTTCCTTTCACGTCTTTTCCTTGGCTTCTAAGTATTAAAAAAAAAAAAATCAAAATTTCCTCCTTCTGTCCTCCTCCTCAGCATGTCCTTCGATCTCTCTGCTTCCCTGTCCTGCCCAGCATTCTTGAAAAGATGAACTGTATTTGCAACATCCACATCTTGACCTTTGTAATTTGACTTCTACTCTCACCACTGTATTGGAACTCCATTTTCAAGGAGTCACCAGTAACTTCTCACTTTTCCAAACTTGCAGTCTTTTCTAAGCCCTCATCATCTGTGTCCTTTTTAATTTGGGGGGCAGTAAGCGGGGGTGTTGATTGTGCGGTCCTTCTTGACATCCCTGACCCTCGACTTTGACGTGACACTCCAGACGTATCGACTCTCTGACCATGTCTTTCTCCTTTCCTCGCTGAATCATCCTCTGCCTTTGATCTACAAGTGGGTTAATTAACATGTTCTTCTGTGTTACTGTCTGCCCTGCTTTTTGTGCACGCTTTCTTATTCTCTAGGAGCTAAGACAGTTCTTTGAGGTAGAGCCTAGTGGATTCAGAGGCTGTACTGAACCCAGATGGAACTTTCCTAATATACTCAAAGGAAGGAAGAATGAGGTAGAGAGCTAATATCGTAAAAACAAAAACTGGTAGCCAAATGTATCAAATCTGGAAGGTAAGGATGGAAAATTGGGGAGTTAGCAGAAAGATTGGCAGTTTGGATGAAGAGAAACAGGATAGATGAATTGGTCGATATATACGTTCTAGAATATGTGTGCTCTAGATCACTTTGCACATGAGGCCCTAGTATATGCTACCTAGGGACATATTATCTTTAAGAAACTGCACTGGAAATAAAGGGGGGGCCAGGGATTTAGCTCAGTGATTCCACTGCCTGCTTCACAAGTGCAAGGACCCAAGTCCAATCCCCGGTAACTCCCCCCCCCCCCCCAAAAAAAAAGAAAAAAAA